GATTAAAGTTCGAGTCTTCGCTAAGTGGGGTTCGAATGTGCGCACGTTACAAGTGCAGTAGAATAATAATCAATAAAATAAAATATAAATCTCCGCCAAGTGGAGTTTGAATCTCCACTAAATGTGATTCGAGTCTCCGCTAAGTGAGGTTCGAATCTTTGCTAAGTGGGGTTTGAGTCTCCGCTAAGCAGGGATATTATCATACAGAGTAATATAATTGCTTTGGATCTCGCGGAAAGAGATAAGAGATGACGCTAGTTGGATGATGCCGGTGATGTAACGCATAAATGTTAGTTCCCTCAGCGAGGCTAGGTGGCGATAGACGGCGTCGTCAGGCGTCAGTCGTCGGTGAAAATGGAGCCGCTTGAGTGAAGGTGGGTGATTCTGTGCGCGCGTGAGTCCGAAAAGTGCTATTTTTCGGAGATGTGGCAAGATTTGGGCGGTCTAGGAAGTGTAGGAGTGAATTCTGGTGCTCATCAGGTCGACCAGTTCGGAACGACGAGTAAGAGATTCATCGATAAATTCCGAATTCGAAACGTATATATAGCGAGAGTCTGGAGTCTGGAGCGAAAGTCAGTAGTGTACATACATACATCGAGTCTTTCTTCGCGACAAGGAGCGCACGCGTTCATGCTCTTCTTGTCCGTTGTATATATATGTATATACGGCCATACGCATAGTAAACAAAACGGAACGATGCTGAGTTTTTCCTCCAGTTTTTCCGCATTCTCACTCCAAATTGTGCAAGATTTTCCGATGCAGCGAGAATCGATGCGCGACTATTTTTTTTTCTCCTTCTACTCCAAGATCGCTCCATCTACTCCAAGATCTTGTATAACATTTATAACGTTGAGTTTGAAAATAAATTTTCGAGAAGCAAGCCTTCAAAGAAGCATATATACTCGTCGTGTTACTTATTCGATTATTAATTTATTTTTATTTATTTGTAATTAAAGTTACTTGTGTGTATAATTTAATGATAATTAATGAACGTTCAAGCGAGATATATATCTAAAGTATTCGGGCATGTTTTTAAAGAAAAAGGAATAGCTATTATTCATTGAGCATTTTCGCATTGATTACGAGTGCGATTCTCAACACGAATAGAGGGGGAACCGTTACGAGACGCCGATTACATCGTGCGTCTCGAGTTTTAATTCTTCCCTTCCATTTTAGCAGTTCAATCATTTGTCGTATATCATATTAGCTCATTTCCGAGAGAAACGCACGATATCGCGGCACGTAGCCATGTATATAGGCTGCATTGTGTGTCACGATATATGATCTCTGCATTAATGTAGTACGAGAATTCTTTTTTAGAAAGTACTAAAGCAAAATGGTGTAGTCCAATTTAATAAGAATCAAGTCCGACAAGGTCGCGATTATCGCCATTATACGATTTATACGACGGCCGATCGAACTACATTTGCTTCTACGCAACCTTCTATATGCAACCTTAATTTGAAAGCCCTATTTTTAGACCTTTCCGTAAATTGCTGCTAACGAGGTCTCTCCTCCGCAACGGGGACACGACACATTCCGACCGTGTAATCATCCCTTCTCGGAACGATTATTCGAGAATGTATTGAAGAAAGATCGCGTTTACCTAATTACTGTATTAACATAGACTTTGCGTATACGTTTTGACGCTATATAGAATCGATTTATATATACGATATTCTAATATACGATATTTTATGATTGTAGAATTGACTTCCGAACAAGAAAAGATTCTGCAAGATATAAGACGGAAGAAAACGGAATTGTTGCTCGAAATACAAGTGAGTATTTAATGAGTTATTTCGGTTTATATTTTCTTTTATCATTTTATCTCAAAATTGCACAAATTTCATATAACGTTCATTAATTATAGTATGCGACAAGTTGTATAAATCTCATCTGACGTGATAGAGACAGATCTGTAGATAAAGCATTTATTATTGCCTAAGGCAAGCCCTCTAAGAATAGAATTATAGAAAAGAGAAAAATTTTAAATACTTAAATATAAAAAGATACATATTTACAAAGATATAGAAGATGAGAGAGAAAGATTTGATAATTCGAATTTCTAATGATACATTTTATCTGTAAGTCGGAAATGATATCACTCGCCAAGAATTTTTATTCGCAGAACAAAAAAATGACACATGCTGCACTCGCCAAGAGTGTACATACGTAAAATTACGTCGCATTTATCGTTCGTAGATGCAAAGCGTGCAAAGTGAGTCTGTTTTATCGATATATTCCATTGAATTACAATTCAGAGCTATGCGGTGGCACTGCTTACAGTTACATACACAAATTTTTTATACATAAAATTTATTGTCAGTATTGTTTGCATTAATTCTCCGAGATATAATGATAAATATCTTGATATCAAGTAAATAAATAAGAAATGTGAAAATTTCTTTTTCATATATTCAAATTTTATATATTAGAATAGGTCGATTTAATTTTTTCTACATACGAGTCGTTTTATATATAATTTTATGATTCAGGAATTTATCTGCTTATAATTATTTGATTCTGGATTATTCTTTAACTTTTTGGAATGGAGAGTATATTTAGAGACGCAAAAGTTACGTTGCATAATAATTTTCGAAAATTTCCACGAAGAGTGAAGAACGTTTCTTTTATAAATATAGTTGTAGAGAGAAGTCACATTAAATTATTTTATTAAAATACGGAAAAAATCTCTCTATATGCTTTGTATCGTATTGCAATATAATTATGATTATTTCAACGCAATGACTGGATCTACGAGAATACGTTATCTGTGCGACCAGAAAAATTCCAGGATGTTCTTACGATAAGACTATTTCCGCAATGCCCGATAGTCTCGCGCTTACTCATCTGCTTGTGAGTTTGTGTCTGTTTGTATAATGAAACAAGGCGTCGCGACCTCGTCTTAAAAATTAAAAAAAAAAGTTACATCGCTCTCTCACTGCTTTCGCATGGAAATCTTGTATTCCATTCTATTTGAAATTTGAATAACGCGCTTCTCGTCTTGTTTCTCTTCGTGGAATCTAATCTGTGGGATATCAAAACAGAATCGTAAGTAACAGAACGTCGAATGTGTCCGTTGAGTACGGTTAATTGTCGCGACCGATACCGTGATTTACGATATATACACGTAAATACTTTTTCGAGTAAATATCAATGAAGCAAAAGAAAATTTTGAACAAGTTAAATTTCGTCAAGTCGTAATTGTTTTAGCTCGCGCTATAGTTTCAACATCAATGACGCGAAACTCTTGCACGTTTCGAAACAGTTGGCGCAGATTTGGGACACGCTGGTCGTGTTCGTCGAGTTGTCTAACGCTTGGTGTGCGAAGCAGACGTCGTCAACAGGTGATGCGATTAACAGTTTTTGTCAGTGGCATATTTCCTATATCGAAGATGCGATTAGTTTATTAGAATTCTACTCGTGAATCGATGTTCAGGATCGACTATAGACTATGCGTGCAATTAACTTATCATCGCTGATTCAGCAACTTTAACATGACTTCTCATGAATTAGGTATATTTACAGAAAATTTCTCTTTACTTTATTTTGTCGGTCAATTCTTTCCTCGAGCGAATAGCTACGAAATATATAGGGAGTTAAATTTGGGAGATTAGACGTTTACACATGTAATAAATGCGAAAATTGTTATGAGAAATATGTCGGTAGATCGCTTTCTCTTGGCTGCTTTCTCTTCAGCTTTGATTGTTTGCGCTATAATTCAACTATGTTTACGAGTATAATTCGACACAAAAATAAAAACGCTCTCATTGTCAGAAACAGATTTTATTCCTTGATTCCATTTTGGAATGAAAACTTGAAAACTCTAATACATCCGGCCGAAAGTAAACTAATAGCGATAGGATACCAGCTCTTGAGAAAATTTTCCAGAAATTTCTATATGCAAGAGTACAGATTAGAATATTGATCCTTGGTATTGGCATAACGATACTTGAACGCTTAAAAGTATAGAATTGATCGTGCGCGTGCACATTCGCGTAGAAACATAAATCTTATATTTCAATCATAATAAAGAATGTTTAAGATATTGCCATGTTTATTGAAATGCAAATGAAATGTTTATTGAAATTGCATAGTACGTTGATACGATTGAGTGAAGTAACTTTGGATCGTAGAGATGATATATACTATATGTGTGTGTGTGTGTGTGTGTGTGTGTGTGTGTATATATATAATCTACTATCACAGAGTGACGCATATATGATAAATCGTGTGCGCAGCGCGAGTAATTTCACAAAGAGGAAGCAGACGCGCAGCTAACCATTAGCTGACACATCTATTTCGTAGTAACATGAACGAAAGCTATAACGTCACTTACGCGCGCTCTTTAATCGAACGTCCCAATAACAACGCCAGCGCGGTACGAATTGCGAGCACGTGATCTTTTTCGACCGACCTTGTGGCACGTGTAGCAGGTACATACTCCGTCGATTCTTACATATCGCAAAAAAAGTATATCGCCGGCAATGAGAGAGAAAGGGAGAGTATAATCATATTCGACTGACTGTGCAATGCAATATGACAATGAGTCATTCATCTGAAATCCGACACGGCAAAACGCTGTCAATGACGTGCTGAACTATTACACGCGCAAACTTTATCAGATCGTCACATAACTCTTGGATAATCTCGCGGACAAGGTAGATAGACGTGGACGCTTCTTGGAAGCATATACATACACTACACACAAGTACGCACGGTGATTACAAATATTTGTACGGGCGAGTGTTAATCATAGCCGCAGCGAGGCGCCAGCGTGCGGAGACTGCGGAGCCGTCAGCCGCTGCCCGCCGGCAGAACCGTCGAAGCGGAGTGCCCGCCAGTCGCCAGAACCGCAGTTGCGGAGAATCGCGTGACGGTGGCTGACGGCTCAGACGGCTGACAGTTGAGGACAGTGCCAAGTCAGCCCCAAGTGCTGCCTGCAATCGTGAGTCGACTCGAGTTGGTTCGGCCGCGTGCGCGCGCACGCACGCGATTTGTCATTTTCGTCGCTTTCGAAAAGTCGCCTTTGTTGTGTGTGTGAAAGGTAAAAAATTACACGCTCGTCATTTCACTTGAATGCGATCTCGAAAGTCGAGAGAAAAAATGTGTACGTACGAGGAATTTCACTTTCTCACAATACTTTGGAGAGCGGAGGAGAATTGAAAGAGAGAGAGAGAGAGAGAGAGAGAGAGAGAGAGAGAGAGAGAGAGAGAGAGAGAGAGGGGCCGTTGGCAGCCGAGGATAATTGGAATAAACGTATCAAAGGTGCGCGTATAGCGTCGTTGTCGTCGTCGTCGCCGTCGACGTCGACGTCGACGTCGACGTCGTCGACGCCGTTGTCGCTGCCGCGCGCGCACGCGGGTCGTTGCACTTCCGACCGCGTGCTCTATGTACGTGTTCTACGACCTTTGTACCTCGTCTATTTCTCAAAGCACTCGGCGCGTAAGTATCATGTTTGATTACAACGAGGACTATGGTGAACGCAGGACGCGAAGCGAGCGTTGTTTTTTGCGAGCCGGGAAGACGAAAAGTGCAAAGTGAAGGAGCCCGGTAGACCGGCACAGGGGCAATTCGTCGCGGGTGCACCGAGAATGATCTTCACCGGCAGATCGGTGGACGCTCTCGACGAGGTGCGAGGCGCCAATAGTGCGGGTAATGTCCAATCAGACGGCGGACGCCGAGACGTGAGCGCTGTTGCTATCGCGACCGGGTGGTTCTCCAGTTTGCGGAGACCCGGCAAGAGGAAGAAGAGTTATCAGAAGCAAGCTAAGAGCGCCTGGGACCTCAGCGTCTTGTCTACCACGGTCAGTCGGCACACATGATTCCACGCGAGACTATTGATCTAAATTTTTACATTTTATTTATTTTTTATGTAGCGGGAATTATCTTGTTAAATTCGGAGTTGACGACCGACAAGATACCTATCGTGACGTGACGCGACGCGACGCGACGTGGCGTAGCGATTCGCAAAAGTCCCGCGATCCTTCAAGGTCGACTCGCGCTAACTCGTCACAGATTTATTTCTAGACCTATCGTTCGGAGCTACACAAACGTCGAACGTTATTCTAGAACGGAATATCTAGCGGTATTCGAATTTAGTGAAAATAATCGATTTATTCGCGCCTAGCATCGTTTTTACAAAGTGCTGATATTTAGTATAAGACTTTTATATTGCGTAAATTGCGAAAGAAACAAAACGATGAGAGACAGGAGTCGTTGGTTGGCGCACAATGGCGAGATGTTAGTAATAATTTGTAATTATTTTACAAGTAAGAATTAGTTTTACCGTTATACCGTTGCCAAGTTAATTGGCGATAGGAATCGCGAGGAAAAAAGAACGTCGTTTTATGTGTATAGGTATACGAAACCTAAAGTTTCATATTTTCAAACAAGCATGTGTAATATAATGTTTCACGTTATTTTATAGTTTGTTGGCTTGGCTTTGATGAAATAACAAAGTGACGATTCGATTTGACGTCAAGTTGCGGCTCCGTTCAGGGTCAAGAATCAAATGCGAAGTAGATGTTGATCGCTTCTACTACTACGTGAAGAGAAACGTGTGTAATAAGCGTGCTGTATGTACGCGCGCGCGCGTAATGAGAAGATCGAATTAAAGTCGCGCTAGTCGCGAAGTGATAGCAATCGCAATTATCCGAAAAATATGTCGAATATTTAAATTTGTAAATGACTTTAGGTATTATTATCTTCATCAATAAGGTAATAATAGTCGCTCCGTGATTTCGCGCGACGTCTGCAACGACGAATTGAAGATCGTAGACCGAGTCAGGGCGACTTATTTATAGAAAGAACCGAGATGGACGTCTATTCGATGTTCCGCACTCGCATTCGCACTCGCACTCGCTCGTCACGTATGTCATACGTTGTATTTCGTACACAACACTGATACAGCGCACTGATATGTGACTATATAAAATCGTATACTTACTTACTTTTGACGACGATTTATCACGAGGATATTACGTGAATAATTACTATATGGCATATATATAGCACGGCAGTTATGTCATCTGGAAAGTAATGAATCGAGTCCATTCTCTTCCCCTCTCTCTCTCTCTCTCTCTCTCTCTCTCTCTCTCTCTCTTCCTTCCTATATACCTACATTTACCATACGGTAAAGAGATTAGCTGGGTCAGTGATAGATCGAAGAACCCGTTCGAATTCGATGATACGATGACACGCGCATAACAGAGATGTGGAGCGAAAGTAAATCGATAATTACCGCATGTATAACGTGTACGCGTAACGCTAGATTTAAAATAGCCTACTTTGACACATCTTTCATCCGAGGTGTACGCATTTATCCGCCAAGGGAGATAAATATAATTCCTGTACGATGAACGAGGCAAGAGTTTGACCGGCTTGACCCATATATTCTCATGAGCGTGCTGTTAAGAAAAAAAGACAGGTGCAGTAATCGGCTAAATGTTGGTTATTACGATTAAATTGTCAATGAAATAAAACACGTAAGTAAAAATGCGTCTATATTACGTTATACTCCATGCCGATTGTAGAATCAAATGAACAACAGCAATGGACAGACAAAATTTATTTCGCTGCAGATGTATAAACACCCTATTAAATGATGAATTAACGAAAAGTTTATTACGATTCGTGAATACGCGCCGCTTATATTGAAAATAATCGGATCTCGCTATCTAGAGTCTGATACAAATCATTACATTAATGAATAATATTCCAACGTTATTTCAATTATTAGAATCAATGTGCATTGTTAAATTAATAACTAATCGGCAAATCGTGCAATGTTTAGTTACTGCACCTAATTTCATTGATTTACATAGCCACGTCGAGACACCAGTATCATTATCGATGCGAGTACTGTTAAGTTTAACAGTACTTTTGTTCGTCGATCCCATTCCCATTTCATACACATTCTACGCACGTATTACCCTCTTTTATAATTATCAAGAAAAGATGCTAAAAGAGTTATAGGTGGACGATTTTTGTGTCATGAAACCTTAAAAGTTTGAGTCATCGTCCGCGTTACTCTCAAGTAACGAGAAAACTCATCGAAGCACTTGTACGCGTTCGCATTCGCGTTTCGCATGCATTTCTTCCGCAAATTCGTAACTCTTGGATTGCAGCCAGATGCTCAGTTTTCTTCGACTCGGAGAATTCGCGTAGCATTTTGAACTGGTCTGGCTATTTCCCGATTATAACTCGCATTAACATATGCAATCTACTGTCTTTCTCTTCTTGGGGAGGGTGTGAAATAGATAGATAGATAGATAGAGAGAGAGAGAGAGAGAGAAAGAGATACATGACAATTTTTTTTATCGTCCAGATTTATAATCGATCCTGTTTATTAGTCGTACGGCTAGTCAAGAATAATAAAATGGTTATTGCAAATCGTGTTTTCGTTTAAGCTAATCGATTTGAATAAAAACGATTATCATTTGACCTCTGAGCTTTGACCGTACGATTTCATAAAATATTGGATTATTTTAATGATGGATTTTGTAAATGTTGTACACATTTTTAAGCGTATGCAAAGTGTAACCTTTGTGTATTGTTGAATATTATTATGAAAAATTCACTTTTGAATGCACATTAAATGCAAAAAATTATCACAGATTACAGATATATCGATATGCACGTAATATTGAATAGGGAAATTAAATCTTTATTACGCGGATATTCTAGGTATAAAGTATTGAGATATAATATTTAAAATTTAAGGACATATTCGAGCGTACATCTTGTGTAACATGACATCTATAGCATGGTTATAATTGTTTGATTATTTGATTATTGATTATTATACATACGTAAATGTATATTATATTTATCGTCAGAATAATAAATAAATTAAGATGTCTGTATCACGTCGGAATGTTATACTCTTATGTTCTGATAAAGTTTTCGTCGCGGTAATATAATATTTAATTATTTGAAATAGTTTATCCTATACATATATGCGCATTTGTTGAAGAAGAAAATTGTTGTCTCTTATTTTTATATTTCTATGTACGAATGGATTATTTAAATCAGATTTACACGTGAGCTATCATATCAAAATCCAAATATGTATTTATGCATAGTATAAAGTAAAGCATTACGAATCTTTATCAATCGTGACAATGGGAACGGGAAAAAGAACGAAAATGAAAATCATTATGTATATACATTATGTATACATATAATAGAACATATGCCCGTAAAACACAATTAGTTTTCGAGACAACGTTCAGCCCAACGTGTAGCGCTAAATCACTGCACAAGCATGCAGTTTGTTCGCGTACGAGACTTTTATGACGCAGACTGTAGGTTGCAAAACTCATGTGTAGCACACATAGTGTCTAGTGTTAGTACCGGCGTAATGTAGCATCGAACGGGAACGAAAACTTTCGCTCTTCATTTAACTGATTAGTTATCATGTTTCATCGCGACATTGAAATTAAAGAGACTATGAAGTCAGTAGAAAATAATAATTATTATATTTGAAAATTCTTATAGCACATTGAGCGTTTATAAGCATTTTATATACATATATAGCCGTAGCGTTTCGTTACTAGCCGCGCCTAATGCTTAGCGTTGTATTATATTTCATCATTAAGAGAAAACAAGAAATTTACAATATGTACGACTTGTCGACGACGGCGTCCGTTTACGATGATCAGATATTTTACCTAATCGATGTACCCAAACGCGTTTTGCACTCATTTGCACTCGTTCAAGGGTGGAAAGGGAGGAGGGTAATGTGGTTGTCAAATTTTTCAAGATTGAAAATACGACGAGAAGATGGAGGAAATGTGCTCTGTACATACTACATACGTTATATGAAATGTTTCAAATAATAATGTCAGTTGTCACATAAAGTCATTTATCCCAGCATAGGTATATACTTTCGATGAGTCGTATCCTTCGTATGAACGAATGCCCTTCGTTCCGTTTTTAAGGAAGGAAATTTGTTGAGTAGTATAGTGTTGAACTTTCGATCGATTGTACAGGACGCATACGACAGAAATAGAACGGAATAAGGCAATCATTCCGCGCAGACCGAATAAAAGGGACGTTAAAACATAGGTAGATTATGTACGCGCCGATTCGAGAAAGGGAATGCTTTACTTGTCAATGTAAATGATGAAGAAATTAATTTGAATGAGAGGTAGTAAACATGCTAGGAATAATTGTTGTTGATTCAAAAAACTTGACGCATTCAAAATTATTAGGGTCGTCGCGTAAAAATGCAACGAAAATTTAAAGGCGCATTGCTCCTAACTTGAATGTTAATCTTTTTTAACGCCGTCGAGCGCAACACATGTATTTTTATAATCTGTAACTGATTTGATATAGAATGATGATTTGCTAGGAACATTTGGAAATGATTCGATTGGAAGTTTCAGCAACGACCTGTAGTATAATAATTGTCCGTCTCTTCGACGATGACAAAGCGATAATTAGCAATGTTAAATACTATTATCTTACGCTTCGACGTCATCGATCACGTTATACACGTAAACACGCATTCGCTATGTTCTCTTTTCATTGCGTCCAAGATCGAATTGTAAAGATTAATCGTTTCTTAAACCAGATGAAATTTTCAAATAACACGGGCTCGATAGAATTTGGAATTCGAAAGAACGATATACCTACCGTATCGAAAGATAGTTTCTCTCCCACAATCAGCGAGTTATAATTTCTAAGTGCACGGGGCATACCGGTTTTTCACGCGCCGTCAGCGGCCTTCCTGCCGCGTGAGACCGGATGCGCTGAGCGATAAGTACAAAAGAAACGCTACTGTACCTTACAGACAATACTACTCAGGGCCGACTAAGTTATTGTCCTTGTTGTTATCGTGCAGGCGACCCATTAACGAGTCTCGATCGGTTAACGATGCTAACGCACACGACCGCTCCCGGCCGATCCTTCCTTTTTCCTGAAACACTTTTATGGAAAGGAGATTCCAACGTACGCGCCTGCTACTTAACGGTCTGACACTTTAAATTTAAATTTCGTCAACTTTGACGTTTCTTTTATTAATTAAAAAAAAAAAAACAGCTTGACAATTCAATGAAAGGTAACGAATGGCTAACTTGAAAATATTTTCGGATAGATTGATATTCTACACGATAACCTGCACGCGACCGTACCATTTTCTAGGATGTGCTACTTGCAACACTTGCAATGAGCGAACGATTTGATTTTATTTTATGTAAAAAAAGGGGGAAAAAGAAAAACTTACGGTAAACGTGCATGGTATTGCAGGAGACATCGGATAGGATATTGATAATTCGCGTTCGTCACTCGCGATCACTGATGTAAGCCAACACACAATAATCATTACGCGACACACTACGTGTTTTTTTAACAACACGTCACCCAGCTGACATGGTCGCGAAACTCTGAAAGAGATACGATCCTGCTTACCGGTATTTACGGAATGTACGTTGAACCAAGACGCATGGTGGGAAACAGGCGGACGGTGTCGACCGGTATTCGAGCAAAGCAGGAAGCCGCTGTTGCATATAGCGAAGGAAATCGTCTACAGTCGCGTTGTTCGTCGTCGGTCGTACCGAATTATTATACATTTCGACAATACAGTTTTTTCCATCGGAATAATTTCAAGTCGGTGAACATTTATTGTAACGCTCAAGAATTGCAATAATTGTATATTGTTGTATATCCGATATTGCTCCTATAAATTATTACATATTATTGTATATACTAAAAGTACAAAAAATATTAGAAAATATAACATCTAATTTGAGAATTGCATTTACAACTCATCCTGTACAACATGTTTTTAGCAATTGAAAGATGAATTGGGCGAGGTTGTGGCAGAAATGGAGGCGATGGAAGGCGGCGGACTTACGACCGACGAGACTAAACCGTCCAACAAGGCCAAGCAGACGTCGATCGGCCGCAAAAAATTCAATATGGATCCTAAGAAGGGCATCGAGTACCTGATAGAGCACAGTCTGTTGACGCCGACGCCGGAAGACGTTGCTCAGTTTCTCTACAAGGGCGAGGGCCTCAACAAAACTGCGATCGGCGACTATCTCGGTGAACGGCACGATTTCAACGAACGTGTGCTGCGAGCCTTCGTCGAGTTGCACGACTTCACCGATCTCATATTGGTACAAGCTCTACGTCAGTTTCTCTGGTCGTTCCGACTGCCCGGCGAAGCGCAAAAGATCGATCGCATGATGGAGTGCTTCGCTCAAAGGTACTGCCAGCTAAACCCGAATATCTTCACCAATACGGATACTTGCTACGTACTGAGCTTCGCCATCATCATGTTGAACACTTCGTTGCATAATCCAAGCGTTAAGGATAAGCCCAGCGTAGATCAATTTATTTCGATGAATCGAGGAATTAACAACGGTGGAGATTTGCCGCGGGAACTTCTTGTGGTAGGTATAATATATTTTCGAGAGAGATCAATTTTAAGATATCTTTTCTTTCTTGTCTTTCAATTGAAAGTTTTCCGAAAGTACATACTACATATTTGTTTCGAATAAAATATTCGTATCTATTTCCAGAGTTTATACGAGAGTATAAAAACCGAGCCTTTCAAAATACCAGAAGACGATGGCAACGACTTGATGCACACCTTCTTCAATCCTGATAAAGAAGGCTGGCTATGGAAACAAGGTAATGACTGAATTCATACATGACTTTTCTATAAGATAGTTTGATCGTATCCCAACGGGAATTTTCATTTTCTCTTCACAAACTCGCAAAGATCTGGAATGTTTGTTACGTATCATTCTCAGAATTATATATATATTCATTTAATTTTGTTTCACAAAAGATTTTAAAAAATAGTAATAAAAAAAAAAAGATAAAAACGCAATAACTCGTATAACATTCCTCAACTTTATCACATTCGTTTGTTATCGTTAAAAGAACATTTATTCTTATATTGTATCACTTTGTCCCTCTGCTGCCCTGATGGAGACAGCAGGTAAATAACATCTCTGTAAAAATCATAGGCTCTTAATTCTATACGTCCCGCATTTTATTGTTACAGGCGGACGTTACAAGAGTTGGAAGAGACGATGGTTCATATTGAACGATAATTGTTTATACTATTTCGAGTATACAACGGACAAGGAACCACGCGGTATCATTCCGTTAGAGAATATTCAGGTTCGAGAGATTCAAGATCGGCATAAACCTCACTGTTTCGAATTGTATGCTGCTGGTTCCGAGTTTATAAAGGCATGCAAAACTGATAGTGAAGGGAAAGTCGTCGAAGGTACGGTTGCTTCAAGTTCAATTTAATTATACATTAATATAAAAGGATTAAACATACATTATACTCATACTTTTATGATACATTCATTTCAAGTAAATATTTGTTTTACGATTAGGAAAACATACGGTATATCGAATGTCCGCAGCTACTGACGAAGAAAAGGATGAATGGATCAAATGCGTGCGGTAAGTTGAAAAGAATTACAAAAATAGTATACGCTCTATTGCGTCACATTCTTTTACAGTAAAGTAAAAAAAAGAAAAAAAGTAAAAAATGTGAACTGATTTTTCAAACATTACTATTCATTTCCAGGCAAAGTATATCACACAATCCTTTCTATGATATGCTGGCAGCACGAAAGAAGAAGGCACAAAAAACAAATGTACACTCAAAGAGTTAAGCGCTGCCACAAGCCGAGTTTCTCTCGAAACTCGGCACATCAGAAGACTGTTTATTCGCGATCCTTACACGTACGGTATCGTCGAATACAAACAAATTACATGATGGCGAGAATCCATCGAAAAAGAAAAAAAAACGCCCGAAAGCGTTATAGACTATAATAGTACTATAATAGTTATCAGGCGTGTGATAACGTGACACGAAATATCGTTGTAATAAACGTTGCAGTAAACGCTGCAACCGCGTACATAGAATACGGCATTAATGTGACGTCATAATCGAGTACGAAATACAGAATCGGCGCAGCATAAGATGGATATGGATCTAGACAAACATTATATTAATGACAAGTACGATAACGCGCCGTTATACAACACCTGATGCCCGATTGGCATTATATCGATGTACAAAAGGGTCTTGCGCTAAAGAGAACTAGCTATATTTCTATTAATTTAATGAATAAATTGCATCTATATTCTTTTTGCAAAAGAGAATGATACATATGATTTTGTATATATTGGAAATCAAAGTCTTTACGATAAATAATAACTGTATTAGTATTGACACCAAAATAATACGTGAGCAAAGAAATATCGGTTTATTTAACGTTTTATATTTTACTAAAAAAGTCAATAATCTCAAGAAATGTCCTGATAGAAGCGCAAAATAGACGCTTTATAATGCCCTTAGCGTCATTTTGGCAATATATATTATATGAGAATAATTATAGGAAGCTGTAACGGAGAAAACGGGACATTTTTTTATCTCTTTCCGGCAGCTTTGAGACACTGTTGAAGCTCTATCTGATTTCAGAAAGGTAATATTTGAGATATTTTGTATGAAATACAATAGTAATATTATCCTGTATCGTGCAAATGAAAGACAAGTCGCGATTTCCAATTATATTAAAAAAGGCATAAAGCCGAGAACTCGATAACTTCATGTGATAATTATTCGTGTGTATATTTATTTAAACAAATATGTACAAAATAAAACTAAAGGATACATTTTCTGCATGAAACTACATTACATATTTTGAATTATTCATGCTTGTACAATTTATGAATATAGCATAATTAGTCAACTTATAATAATTAATGTTCGTTTAATTGAGAGGTTGCGTATTAAGCATTGGGACGGACAGACGGACACACACACACACACATATATACATACACAAAACTACGTGTACTTTGCATAAAAAATTCAGTGTAGCGGTTAATACACATAGTAATGCCTTGGTGAGATCTGGCGGGAACCTGCAACTCCATCAGTCTTTATCCCATAAAAAAAGAAAAGAAATTAATAGATTTTATACAATATATATATATCTATCTATCTATATATATATATATATATAAAGTGTATGTTATATATACCTCTTCCTTACATCACTTTCGAATAAGAAAAATAATTTTGTATGAAAATATTCATGATTACATTATGTTTCATGATGGAATTTGAAATTTCTTTGAAAGTTTATATTATTATCCTTCTGTATCTTGTTGCAAATACAGATGATGAAGGATTAGCGATAGAGAAGCAGGTGCCTTTGAGATCGTCAAGCTAGTCGTAATAGCTGATCCGTCATGTACGAAGGATTCGGAAAAACACTTTTCTTTGCTACATGCAAAGAAAGTCAAACATCGAAAACGCCTTATTATAATACGTTAGATAAAGAAACATAAAAAAAAACCCGCAAAACATGAGTAACAGTAGGGCGTAAATTTTGTAATATTGTTCTATTCTTGAAGAGATGTAGACTCTGTCTATCGTAATAGAACAATCTATAATTGATAATGAATTTACGAAAAAAAACTTTATAAAAATATTAAAAATACGTAAAATTGATTTGTTAAACGTTGCGTAGTTTTTTTTTTTCACATACATATAGAGATTTTCAATACATCAAATTAATATTTTACCGCGAGATACATTTCACATGCCTGCCGATATGTATATTCCCGAGACATTTCTTTCATAGCCTCTGCTTCCTGATAGCTGCGTGGACAATAATATTACGTTATCAAAGAGCCAATACACGTATAATACGTGATAAAAATGGAACAGAATCATCCTTTTAGATCATTTACAAATTATGTCTTCTCAAATGCAGGTACTTGTTGAATTGTGTTATAATTCTGTACTGTTTACTTTTTAAAGATCATTAAAGTTGATTGATTATTTCTGCTAGTACATAGATATTTTATAATTTGCAGTATTTTTTTTTCTTTCTCTAATGTCGATAAAAACATTTTGTAACATTATATATATACTTGCGTAGTTAGAATTCTGATGAAATATATTGTGATAAGTCTATGAATATACTCTGAGCATTGTGTATATAGATACATATATACATGTACATACATATACGCCCACACACGCACACACCATAAATTATAATCATTAGCTATATAAAGTAAAATTAATGTTTGTCTTTTCCCTTGTAAATTTGTAATTTTTATCTGTATATTTCGTTGTAAAGATGATACATGTAAGAAAACATTACAACTATGTATTAGCAAAATAATTGATCGAATTTAAGGAATTGTATAAAAAAATTGTACTTTATTAGCATAGACAAAAAGAATTTGTACATTTTGTTGTATATTACTTAATAATTATCATTATACATAATTGATCATATGTTGTATTTAGCAAGCGAACGTGTGTATTAATTTAAATATAATTAATAAATTTATTTCTAGCAAATATGTGGAATTGTTTATTACGAATGGAAGTATTGGATTCGATTGTGTAATTGCCATCGAGTAGCGTGATGCGCAATCAAATTTCTTTAAAAACGAATTATACACCTGCAAAATTACTCTTGGGGGTCATTGTCAAATTCAAATTTTAGCTTAAAATTTCAATTTGAGTCGAATCGAATCGAATATATTCGTGTAACTTGATTATTTTCAACTATACTAACTTTCGAGAAACCCAAAACTCAAATTCAACAAAAAAAATTGGAGCTATCTCGATTTAGACTTGATTTCAGTACCCGCAAACTTCTAATTTTAGCAAATAGTCCATCTTCGTAAGGAACATCCAATTAATTTGCGATTTCTGCATGCGCAATTTCAATAAGCAAAGATAAGACGCTTTGACATTTATTCCTCTTTATCCCGTTACGTCTACATAAAACGATATTTATAATAATTATATTGAATCATTTAATTTTTATGTTGATTTTTTTCTCATATAATTTCGTAAGAGAAATATTTAGAGAATTTCAACTTTTCTGAAGTACATACTCATACACGTGTACATACGTACGTGTGCGTGTCATTGTATATGTGTATGTATGTGTACATGTATGTGTGAAGAGAATATATATATATAACATTAAGTTGCTTAACTTTTGAGAAGCGATATTTATTTTAATAGTTCCTTGCGCGACGCAGTTGAAAGAACGTTAAATTGTTTTGATATAATTTTTCGAAGCGACTCTCGCGTCGCGTCGCGTCTCTTGCTTCGACGGGGTTTCGAGTTCGAAAACGCGATAAGCGGCGCGAGAGCAGCGCAGTGCGCACAGAAAAATTGGGTCGATGCGCGGAAGATGGCGGCCGTTGCGTGATGCGCGTAAGAAGGCTCGTACTTTGGTTTTGTCAAAAACATGAAAGAACCGCGATAAGGTGCGTTAACACGTGCGAAACGCGAAACCCGTCGTTTGGACCCCGTGATAAAAGCGGCGCACTCGCGGACTCGCGTCGATCTTGACCCGTGCGCGATCGTGGCAGTACTGGCAGTGCAGTTGACGAATTTGTTTACGATAAGCGGCAACGAAGAAGCCTGTCTCTTTTGGTTTTTCAGCTGTCGTCGACTCTCGACATTCGCGCGTGGCGGCGGCGGCGGCGGCGGCGTCGTCGGGCAGGTATCGCGCAGATCGCGCTTGCGAGTCGAGTGGAGACTCAACCGACTCGACTGACCAACACAGTGACTGCAGGAGTAAGTACAACACGCAGGCAGCGGGGGAAAAGAAAAGAGGAACACGCATACACCTGTAACAAACTCGGATAGATTCGAAACACTGGAGATTAAGTGTTGCCGGACTTCGGCCCGGTGAGAAGAACAGTAGAGATGCTGAAGCAATTGCAGATGGGGATGAGAGCTTTTCTCTTAATGGCCTCCCGTGTGTGGACCTGCATCTGCTTTCTACTCAAGAAGCAGGTTAGAGCCGTAAGTAGGTGCTTCGCGCCTCTATTCGCGCCTTCTTCCGCGGTCAGTCGTATTACGAATACGAGCCATCTAACCGGCGGCGACGACGACGACGACGGCGACGGCGACCGGGCGACGTCGATTCGTTTCCTCACTTTGTTCTTTTATCACGATACTTGTATATAGATTATCGCGAATTGACATTTGTTGATGTAACTCATTCTCAAATGATACATAGTGATACGGTACTATCACCTCTGTCTCACGAACGTTCATTTCTTTTTCATCAACAAAATTACAAATTACGGGATGAGTCATATGAACAATTATTTTATAACACTTGACGATTTTTCTACATTTTTCTCAACATTTCTTCTACATTTTTTTCTTCATACATTTACAAGGGCGCTATGTATTGATATACCCTGGAAAAAGCTGTTTATTCTATTTATGAAAAATGATCTTAGTTTTACTCCCTTCTCTTGGTTGAGCACATCTTTTAAATTATAACTTTTAATTAATGGACTATACACACAGTTCTCCTCGCTCTAGTCGTTCTCTTGAGAATTATTTATTTTTTTATATGCGATTCGTGTCTTTTTTTGAATGCAAGTTAGAGGTGTAAGTAGTTACTTAATGCTGTCATGCTATTTATATAGTTATATTTTAATTTACTTCGTAACGCAAGATATAATAATATATCTACATCTATTTTATTTCAAATCTTTATTGTGCATACATTTGTATTTTGATTATTTGGATATTGTTGGATTACCTATGCAATTACCCTCCCCTGCGCATATCATGTTGTTATTACTATTCTTTTAATCACACAAGTATTTTTTAATTTTATAATAGGTATAACTATATTAATCTCTATTTTATTCTTTTATAGAGGCACATTTATGACTTTAACTTCTTATCGATTAATAATTATTTTATATTTTATTTTTTTTTTCATATATATATACATTATAAATGTAGTATACAAATTGTATATTTACCATTTTGTTTTAGATCTCACAAATGCAACCAGTCAAATATGAAATCTTCCCGCTTTCACCTTTATCTAGGCACAGACTTAGTAAGTGTAACTCAATAACGCTTATACATATATGAATTTTATACTTATTTCATTTAATGTTTTTCAGTATTTGTGTATAATGCAAGAATGTTTCAGGTATAGTTAAGAGAAAAGTATTAGTACTGGATTTAGACGAAACGTTAATTCACTCTCATCACGATGGAGTAGCAAGGCCAACTGTCAGGCCTGGTACACCTCCAGATTTTGTTCTTAAAGTGACGATAGACAGACATCCTGTTAGATTTTTCGTCCATAAAAGACCACATGTAGATTTCTTCTTGGATATTGTTAGTCAGTGGTAAGTGTTGCCATGAAAAAAGAAACACTATCCCAAAATTATGCAAACTGGCAAACAAACTTTGCAATTTTTCGCTTAGATTGTGTTCTTGTCATATTTTAAGACAAGCTTGCACATTAATTATATTTTTTATTATTATCTATATCAATTAGGTATGAGCTAGTAGTCTTTACTGCATCCATGGAAATATATGGGGCAGCGGTTGCAGATAAACTAGATAATAACAGAGGTATTTTAAGGCGCAGATATTATAGACAACATTGTACACCAGAAATGGGTTCCTATACCAAGGATTTATCAGCAATCTGTTCAGATCTCTCTTCAGTCTTTATTCTTGATAACAGCCCAGGAGCTTACAGAGCCTATCCACGTAAGTATATATATATATATCTTTTAATGCATTTTTCTACTGTATCTGTATTTCACACCTAGACTCGATGAGATAACAGCCAATTTCTGTTTTCCTTTAAATGCCTAACACTTTGTAAAGTATATGTGTAATATCTTTTAATTTCTAATAATATTTGTACGCATCGACATATTCACCCGTTCTATCTTTCTAGAAAGATGAACGAACTTAATGATATCATATTTAATGGTATCTGAACATGGCGAACATGGCAATAATAATTACAGATTCTATTTTTAAAGAAATGCCATACACTGTAATATGTAGATTAATTAGAAGAAAATGTAGAGTCTGTGCGTTTCTTGAATGTAACATAAAAGTAATAGAGAAATTCAAATATGACATTACAAGACTTTGTATCTGTTCGTGATTTACCTTATTTTATGAAAGGAATGCGCAGTAAGACCGCGATATGTATGGATGAATTTGACAGTGGATAAAATTAAACAGATTAATAATGCGCTACTACACGTATTATTATCTCTTCTTTTTTATGTCACAGACAACGCGATACCCATAAAGTCATGGTTCAGCGATGCGGGTGATACCGCTTTGTTAAGCTTACTTCCAGTCTTGGACGCTCTTCGTTTCACGCAGGATGTACGATCCGTTCTTTCGAGGAATTTACACTTACATCATACTTGGTAGCAAAGCCGAGATTAAACGATACACTAGATATTCTAGAGTTGAAACTACTAGCAGTTTCAATTAGTGTGTCTAGCCTAGGATTATTATTGTTATTAATTAATTAGCATCATTAGGTCGCTGCCCGTATAATGAGAGACAATGAGAAAGCCCCCTTCTTCAATCTTTGTTTTTTTCTATACTCGAATGAACAGCGACGAGTAAATACCGAAGGTAAAATGGTATTCAGTCAATAATTACATCAGCACAAAACATCCTAGGATAATTGTTTTGCGTTGTACAGTGTCCATGTGTGCAAAATTATATCAAAGCGAATTTCTTTACTTTTTCTATTATATAAGCGTTTGCCAAAGATCAAGATACGAAAATAGAACCGCACTAGCCAGCAGGATTTTTTTCATTTTAGGTAAGAATTATACTTAAAAGTTTTTATTTATATATTTCGGCGGCACACCATGGAAGATAAATTATTGAAATAAAGTACTTCTGTTATTGTATATTATTAACCTAGGATGTAGAGAGAAAGAGAGAGCTCTATACCTAAGTCAAATGGATTTTGCTGTAACTCACTGTATCAGTGAGGAGGCAGCTATCCTGGTTATATCTAATAAAAAAAAAAGTATTAATATAAAACCAGGAAAGAGTGACATCTGTTTTTTGGTCAAGACTTCCGCGATATGGAATAATATTACATGTATGATCTACAAGGTTGATTGCGTTGATATGCGGTCTTACAGGAAGAGTTTATAATATGCGACTCGATATATTTCTGGTTTTTTCCACACAAAATTATAATTATAAATAGATAAACGAGAAAAAAATGTTTTCAAAGAAATATATTCGTAAATGTCTTAATGTAATGTTCAAATATTCATTAACCATCATTATAAATTCTTGTTTCTAAATAATAACCTTGAGATTGTAAAGTTGAGGCAAAATTAATTTATATCTTCTTTTGCAAGCATTTTAATATGAGTAATCAATCGTTTATATATATATATATACCTATATATAAAAATGTTCTTTATACAATACTCATTTCGCTTGCACTTCTCTTTTGTTTTATTATTATATTTAAATTTGTATTGTTTTATAATGAAATATTTAACTATAATAAAAACTCCTGTACAAAAACTATACTATGTGATTATCTTTCTGTATTGTGTGTATATTTACACACAAACACACAAAATATAAAATATATATGACAATGTGTATAATTTTCTTTAATCATTGATATTCAAAAATATGAGGAAAGAAAATAAAAGAGATGACAAGTCTCAATTTATAATCTTAAGATTATTATTTTACATTTTCTTACAAAAGCAAAATCTGCAGTAATACTTGTAATAATTATATAAATACTTAAAATATTATATAAAAATAGACAAATTTTTCTCTAAATTAAAAGGAACGCCTTTATTTTCTTTTCGCAATTAATTGTATAATAAATATTTATCTCATGCTCACATAAGTTGAAAAAATTGAATAAATCACATATCATGAACTCTTCTTGTAAATGATGTATAATAGCAAGTTACACACGCGCGCGCGCGCGTACACGCATCTGTGTACTTTGTTTGCTTGTTAGTGATATAAAAATAATATCGAATATTATACAGTTTGTACATATTACTCGGGTGTATGTGATGCAACTCAAGTATGACTGACTTTTGTATGAATGACCGATATAAGTAAATTACAATACATGGACTTCATCTAATATCTAATATGTGTGGTATATGTATGTGCATGCGCACATACACATGCATACACATGCATTTATATACATAAATGTCAAATCAACTTATTCAATTTACATTTAAAAAGTTAAAGAAGAACAATACGCCCATGTGTACAAGATCTAGCGATATCCGTCATCCTTCAATAAAGATTTTTTTAATTAAAGTTATCGTTTTTCAATTATATACAATTTATATGCTTTCTTTATTGTAAGTAACAATTATTCTCTCAAGACATGAGCCATGGGCAATGCATATAGTATTCTATGGAAAAGAAAATGGAAGTAAAATTAACTATTCAGTTTTTTTTATTCAATAAAATTATATCTGTACACACATAACACTGTCTGCACCGTAATGCAGACAGATACCGCCACATATGAAAGTACACCCATTTCTCAGTTTGTAGTAGAAATTCAATTTCAATATAAAATTTACAAGATTCTTAAACACGATACTTTGTATTGTAACTATCTTCGATGTTTTTGATTCTAGATTAAAAGATATTAACATTTGCATATACATTACATATAATTAAGTAGTTTGTTTCATGATGTAGAGAATTGCTACATCTTTATAATTTATCTCTGCATAAAACAACCAAACATAATTTTCACAAGTTTCTTACATACTAGATATATAATTCACATAATTATAAAATCGAGAATATCGCTTTTGCTCACGTGAAAACTGTTCAAAAGTATTAAAAAATCTAGTTATGTATTTTCTCTTTCCTTTTCTCTCATATTTGTACTGTAGTAAAGTAAATTTAAGTAAATTAATTTTTTTTAAAGAAACTACTATTAACAGCCTGTTTAGATCTTATACAAGAAAAACATTTTATTAAAAATTGCAAAGAAATCTGCAATTACATTAATTTAATACACTTATTCAATCGATATGCTCTATATTATTATAGTAAAGTATGACACAATCGATGCATAAATTTACTTTTTGATCGTTATATATCTCGGAGGTTTTTTTTTTTATAACGAAACATTGTTTGATAGATATTAGAAACATTTACAAAGTTATGAATACTACCAAAAGTACCGCGGTCAATGCTACGAGTATGTATACAAGGGATTAAAAAAGGATTCAGATATATCGTAGTCCTGAACTTTTCTTATAACGTCTTGTATAAAAATAATAAGAAACATCTCTCTAATATATAAAGTACTATTGAAACTATAATCCTTTTGCTTGAATATATTATGCCGAGTACATCGTATCGAAGACTATCATTATGGAAGTAATTAATTGATAGATAAAAAATTCTAAACTTATTCTTTGGGTGGGTCCTCTCGAATCATTTCCAAAGAACTATCCGAATTGTTAGTACTGCTTCCACTTCCAGCATCGTCTTCTCGTTCAGTTGTTTTCTCTTGATTTACATTTGTTGCACCCAACTGCCATGGTGGTATAGATGCCGGAGCAGTTGGAAATTGTTTTCTATTTTAAGATATAATTGGAAATTAGCAATACAAGTAATAAACATAATTGTAAGCAATCAATGTATAAAAATTTTGAGTTATAGTTTACGCTTCTTGCGCGTTAAATTCATGATATGGGAAGATAGCTATATACAGTCTAATCTAATGAGAAAATTATTTGCAATAAAAGATTACTCCAAAAGAGTGTAGATGGTCAAAAATATGGAATAAGATGAAGAAAAGCACAAATTTATATTTTTAAGTATTTATATTTTGTAAAACTAACTCTTGTTTAAAAAGAAAATTATAATATCCAAAATATCAATTTCTTAAGCACAATTCCAGATAGAACTATATATGTACGAGAGTGTTGCGAGGTTGTGATGACATTTGATCTCTTGTAAAAATAATGATCCTTAATATATATAAGCAAATATCCCAGATATACGAGAATAAAATGATAAGAATGTCCAAACGAAATAATCTCATTGTGTGGCAATAAATTGCTATTACTACAACAATCTATGTGCATTGCTTATTATATATGCTTTACATGAGAAGAAACAAAAGTATAGATATATACTTTACCTTGATAAAAGTAAAGCTTTTAGACTAGATAAATCGTGTTTAAGCTCTTGCACCAATTGTGGGATAGTTGGATCTAATGCTTGATGCTGAGTCAGCTTTTGCACTTCGCTTTCTACCTTCGAAATAGAGTCTTTCACTTCTTTCATGGAATCTTGGACGGTTTTATCTAATTCGGTTACCCTATCCTCTACACTTCTCTTCTTTCTTTGACCAAACAGAAAGGGTTCTATAAATTTCTAGAAAAATAGAAGTTACACTGTATTATATTTCAATAATATAAACAAAATGAGAAATATATTGTATGTACACTCGCTCACTAAAAGGTTGCGACACTTTCTTTTTTATAGATTTCAAAACGCATTAATATTTTGCAAATGCGGACCACGATTGGTGTTATACTGCTTTTAAACTAAAGATAGTACATCGTGGTTTGCTATTGCAAAATATTAGTTATCTATAAAATATATATTACGTATATTAAATATAAATTAGAAATCTATAAAAAACAAGTGTCGCAACCTTTTAGTGAGCGAGTGTACATACACCCACGGTCATTGATTCTGTTCCTCGGAAATTTTCACAAACTCTGAAGTGATTACTTTTCTACATTAATGCTCATAATTCATGCACGATTAACGAAACGAAATCGTGCATGGACTATGAGCATTAATGTAGAAAAGTGATCACTTCAGAGTTTCTGAAAATTTCCGAAGGACAGAATTATGGTGTAATAAAGATAGAGGTGTGCTTGTTAGGTAGACTAAATTTGGATTCGTTTTGCGCATATATGGCGTTGGAACAAGTCGCCTTCCATATTGGAAAATAATACTAGTAAACAAAAATGTGATAGATGCATAAATTGTGATTTTTTTTTTTTGGAAAAAATGGTAGCATGTAGTGTTAAAGGCTGCAAGAATCGCAGTAAAAGAAAAAAATGAAATTTTTTTCTTTTTCAAAGAACAGTAAATTCGCGGCATTATGGATGAAAGCTTTATCTTTCTACACATTTCAACTAAAATTGTAACAAAAATATATAAATAATATTTATTATAAATAGTAAAATATTATTTTTAAGTATAAATATTATAAAAATGTTTCTTGTTACAATATTTGTGATACATATTTACTTTTTTCTGAAACATTAATGCCATTATTTTTGTACTATTCATTAATTAATAGATATTTCCAACGATGACAAAAGCATCATTCAAGAAATTATTGAAGTTGAAGGTTTGAAGTATATTGCCGGTTACGTCCCAAGGAGAATGGAAAAGTCAAAATAATATCAATTTGACGTCAAATTGACCGACTTTACGTCATTTTTTTTATATCATGATTAAAATCTAGATTTCGAATGACTAAAGAATGACTTTATATTAACTTTTTTTTATAGTGTCTTTTTTATAGTGTCTATTCGATCTTTTTGATTTTTAGAAAAATGTGAAAGATCGGAAGAGCACAC